GTGTGTGTGTGTGTGTGTGTGTGTGTGTGTGTGTGTGTGTGTGTGTGTGTGTGTGTGTGTGTGTACAGGAGTCTCCACAGCAGCGACGCGCGTGCGTAACCTTCATCTGTTCGCCCGTTAACGTCTGAACAGCTCGGTGGGGCTTTTACTCTGATTCGTTTGACTGTTTTTCAAAATAAATCTCACTTCCTGCTGCAGACACGAGAATCGTCTGTGAATAAAACCAGCAGAAATGATCGTTTCCATTGCGAGTGGCTTCTGCTAGAACCACTTACCGCTTCAGGAACATCGGCTTTCTTTGATCATTCCTGAAGCCCAGCGGGAGCTGGTCTGGAATCAGCTGACAGCGACTTCCTGAGGAACAATGAAACAGCGGTGCCGGCAGCAGAGGCTCATGGGTACTGTAGTGTTGTGATGCGGAGACTGGAAGCGTGAGGCCGGACGGTGGCGTGGAGGCAGCGGTCCGATAAACTGCTGTTTGAAAGCGCCACATGTGGACGTGTTGATCGGAAAGTTTGTGGGGATTTCATCTCATCAGACGCTACTCGCTTTATCGCCGAGTGCGACTCTGCAATCTTCAAGCTGCAGATTAAAGAGGAATTACAAGATAATCTTGAATAATCCACGGAGCACGGACACTCGACAGCAGAGTCATTCTGAGCGCTGACAGCTCCGTCCATCAACACCCAGATTACCCATGAAATTAGCACGAGAGCTCGCTGCTAATTCGCTGTCCAGCTGATTAATCTGCCACGCAGCCCGGGCAGATTGCACTGTGATTAAACACACAAAGGTTTAATTTTCCCACGCTCAGCCGTGCTCTGAGCGCAGCGTCCTCTGTCAGGAGCTTCTTTGGTCGGACACAGATTTAAAAAACGAGTGTTTCATGCTGAATCTGCCACTCAGAGAGCTGACAGCTGCAGATGATGCTGTGTGACTGTAACAGGAACCTGAAGCTCCCTCAGCTCTGTGGAGCTTCGTGTCTCTCTGAGGATGTGACAGCTGGCTCTCACTGTCCTGCTGAAACCATCTGACTTCCTGTTGATCTGCTTCCTGTGCTCCAGTCTGACACAGACTGAGGCCACACGTCGAACATCCAGCTGAGGAGCTTGACCATCAACACACTGCTGATGGTTGACATTTCCTGATCTGTGTCTGTGTTCTTGGACTCATAGCGCTGCTCTCTGATTGGTGCAGCTGAAACCAGCTGATTGAGTCATTAGAAACTCTGAGACAACATGATGCAGGCACCAAGATCAGTCCAGTCTGAGGAAGCAGAGGTTTTTAGCCTGATGCTTAACATTGTCCACCCCAGCTGTGAAACTCAGAAACCAGTCTTACTTGTTATCATCTATCATCCACCCAGGCCCTACACAGAGTTTCTGTCTGATTTCTCAGACTTTATATCTAATTTAGTTCTGAGCTCAGATAAAATAATTATTGTGGGTGATTTTAACATCCATGTAGATGCTAAAAATGGCATCCTCAATATGGCATTTAATCTGTTATTAGACTCAATTGGCTTCTCTCAAAATGTAAAAGAACCC